ACCTTTGGTTATTGAGCTTGTCAGGCTTGCCAGGGGAGCCCCCTTTTGTTCACACACTCTTGGATGTTTTTGCTAAATTCACTCAACCTAATGTGGAACCTGAGATGTGAAAGTTCCCCAACCAGGACACCACCTGTGTGGTCACCTGGACCCACCTCCTGGCGGTTCCTTTCGTCTGGAGGCGCCGCCATCCCTGAGCCATCTCTGCCCTACGGACCAGCAGAACCGGTCTGGAGACAAAGTTCCCCACCCAGCCCCCTGCGCGTCGCTGCTTTCTGCCCATCCCCGCACGGGTTTTATTTTCTTCACCTGGTTACAGCCTCACATACTTGAGATCCTTCCCTGGAGATGGGAGCTGAGGGAGACATTGCAGCTGGATCCCGTAAGTCCCTCTTGAAGAAAACCCCGTGGAAATAACAGCGGGAAAGCCTTGCTGGGAGGGCGTCCGGGTCCTATGTGGGAATCAGGGAGGGTTTGACTTGCAGGGACCTTGGAGCTCACCGACCTGAGGGTGGAGATGCTGCCGTGGGGTGGTCAGCAAGCCCAGATTCAGGTTGGCTGACTACCTCAGCACCTGTGTGCGTGTGCATGTGAGCGGGTGTGTGCGTGTGTGTGTGTGCATGTGTATGTGTGAGTGTGCATGTGTATGTGTGTGTGCATGTGTANGGGTGTGTGCGTGTGTGTGTGTGCATGTGTATGTGTGAGTGTGCATGTGTGTGCATGTGTATGTGTGTGTGCATGTGTATGTGTGCGTGCATGTGTATGTGTGTGTGCATGTGTATGTGTGTGTGCGTGTGTATGTGTGTTCGTGCATGTGTGTGAGAGTGTGTGCATGTGTATGTGTGAGTGTGTGCATGTGTATGTGAGTGTGTGCATGTGTATGTGTGTGTGTGCATGTGTGTGAGAGTGTGTGCATGTGTATGTGTGTGTGCATGTATGTGTGTGCGTGTGTATGTGTGCGTGCATGTGTGTGTGTGCGTGCATGTGTGTGTGAGTGTATACACAGGGATAGCTGCTGTTAGCATGGGGTAAGGCGGGGGTGCACAGGGGCCTCCGGCCAGGTTGCCTGCACATTTCAGAATTCCTCCTGCCTGTCCTGACGGGCGCATCACCACCTTTCTGCTCACTTGCCAACTCTGAGTCCTCAGCAGTTTGCAGGCAGCACTCTCTCCCTCAGGGACCCGCAGGTGTCTCCCCTTCGTCACATACACTCCCTCACCTGAGCCCCTGACCGCAAAGGAGGCTGGGAATGGTCTGTGCAGGCCCGTGACCAGGTCGGGGAAGGTCTCATTCTCACTGCAGGAAAGAAAAATAAAACACAAAGTCAAAGAATAAATCACCGTATTTCACCCACCAGAAGGAGCCACTGTCAGTAGGTAGCTGCGAGTACAGAAGTGGGTGTAGGTGGGAACCATGTAAGCGCCCGCGCTGTTGTTTACAGCTCCGAGTCCTGCTTCTTTGCTAATTCTCTCACTAGTATATTCTCATGCCCTTCAGAGGTCTAGCCAGCTGGTGTAACGCTCTTGTCACCAGGGCCGTTCAGTGTCCCCTGTGTGCAGTCCCTGGGCCTCTCCCGTCCTTGTAGGAACAACTTGCTTTTACCTCCAAATGGTGCGTAGGGAGGCTGCTCCCCTGACTGAGGAGCCTCCTGCAACATTAGTGACAACTACCTGTTTTTTTCAAGCAGCTATGAACCAATTTAACGTAGACACATAACTAACAAGGTGCCCTGGCCTGGCAGAGACTTTGTCAAGTGATTAGTTAAATTCGAAATCTACTGAACTATATCAGTAGCCTGGAAAATCAAGGTCATTTGTAGACAATTACTTTGAATCTAGTGACGATTCCTAGTGACAGTTGCTTTTTGTCTGTGTTTAAAATGCTGGTTCCATAATTCTCAGGGGATGTCTGTTAAGACTCTTCCTTTTGAAAAAGCCAAGTAATATGTCCAAATTGGGTTTTCTGGCATTTTTACTGTACTCTCTGATTCGAAGAGAGTGTGTGCAGAACCAAGCCAGCCAGGGCCTGCCCGTGAGCCCTCTAGGGCTTGTCTGTGACTCCTCCTTAAATGTCACCAGTACTGTGTCAGTTCACCGTGGTTCACTCAGGAGTAACAGGGGTGCTACCAGAGCACGACGGCCCTTGGTCTTTTGCAAGGAAAATAAAAAACAACTTACCCTTTCCTCATTCCTGCTACTGACTGGAAGCCGAGGAGGCTGCACTCGATCCCTGCACTCCCGGTGCCAGCCCAGCACCGCAAAGGATTTGCTGAATTCTTTACAAACCCCAGGCCCCAGAAACCCAGCGGAGAATCACGTCTCTTCTGGCCAGGTTGTCAGGCAGCTTTCAGGCTGGTGCGGGGACCGCGAATAAAGGTCATGGATACTCAACAACGCACTGTGACGGCTCCCCGCTGCGCGCCGAGGTGCATCCGTCCGTTGACATGGCTCCTAACAGCCATGTGCGTGGGGTATGAGCTTCCCACCTGCCCCTTAGGGAGAGACGGGGTGTGGCACCGGGCGTGCTGGCAGGAGGTTGGCAGCCTGGACATCTGGGAAGGGCATGGCCTGGGAGGCAGAGGCGTGCTGCTCCAGCCCTGCGGAGGGAGCCCTGCCTCGCACCCGGAGCTCCGGGGAAGGGACGTCTCAGCTGAGATGAGCCCACTTCTGAGAAATCAGGCCGAAGGTCACTTACCATTTCCTTCCTGTGGGAAACTGTGGAAATCGGGCAGGAGTACCGCGAACCTTCCAGGTCAGCCGGGTGTAAATGCTTTCAAAGAGCGCGCTTTGCGACTGTTCACAGGCCCCAGCCCTTCCTCCAAACCAGCCCGGGTGGCCCAGAGGCGGGTCCCATTTCCCCACCTGCCAGTGGTTTGCGATTGTGAATTTCACTGAGGCTGCCCCGGTTTTTGCCCTTGAGGTCATTTCTGGGCTGCTCTGTGGAGGGGAGGTTGGAGCCCAAGGGGAGCCCCCACCTCACACCCCAGAAGCCCAGCAGCCCAGACGGCTGCAGGGGAAGGAGCTCGGATTTACGACCAAGTCCTGCCGGCCGGTGTGGCTCGGTGGTCAAGCATCGTCCCAGGCACCAAGAAATCAATGGTTCGATTCCCCATCAGGGCACATGCCCAGGTTTCCGGCTCAATCTGCAGCAGGATCGATGTTCCTACCTCACCCTCTCCCTTGCTCTTTCTAAAATCAATAAAAACATATTTTTTTTAAAAGACTGAGTCTTAAGACCAGCCGCTCCCTGGCGACCTCAGGCAAGTCTCCCGGCCTATGGGTCATCCCAGTTTATTACTCTGAAAAATGGGAAAAAACCAGTACTCATCCCGCGGGATTCGTGTGAGGTTTAAAATATGGTAACGCGTGAAATGATCATACGGTGTTTTTGGTGCTATCGGTAAAGATTGTGGCCAAGGCCAGGGTCTCTCAGCTGTGACTGTTGGAAGTTCGTCCTAAAGGCTGAGCTCTTCGGGCCGCTCTGCACCGATGCTGCGCTGGCAGGAGGTCAGTCGGGGGCGCCCCCCTCAGCTCCCTCGTTCTCCGTGGAGTTCTCCAGCCCCTGCCTTTCCGCTTTCCCCCGGGGGCCTGTTTGCCAAAGCGTCAAGCCGATGCCTGTTCCATTTGGGGGTCGGGGAGACTGGTCACAGGGTTAGGTGGGGTTGCTGTGTGTGCTTGGAGTTTCGGGTTTTAGAGCCGGGGTGTATGGGGGGGCACACACGTGCCGGGTGTGGTGCAGGGTTCTTGCTTTGTAGTTGGTTATTTTTGTTTACTGATATCTCAGCATTCATCCCTCGTCTCCCTTCATTAAATCATTCCACAAATACTGCTTTTTAAAAATGGAGCTCCAGCCTGGCCGGGCGTGGCTCAGGGGATGAGCGTCGACCTAGGATCCAGGCGATCGGGGTTGGATTCCCGGTCAGGGCACATGCCCGGGTTGTGGGCTCGATCAATGACTCTCTCATCATTGATGTTCCTATCTCTCTCTCCCTCTCCTTTCCTCTCTCTGAAATCAATAAATATATATTTAATAAATAAATAAATAAATAAGTAAATAAAAATGGAGCTCCAGCCCTGGCCGGTGTGGCTCAGTTGGCCGGTGCACCAAAAGGTTGCCAGTTTGATTCCCAGTCAGGGCACGTGCCAGGGTTGCAGGCTCAGTCCCTGGTGGGGGGTTTGCAGGAGGCCGCCAGTTGATGTTCTGCTCTCACATCAATGTTTCTCTCTCCCTCCCCTTCTCTCTCTAAACATCAATAAAAAAATATTTTTTTAAAAAGATATTTTTAAAAAATATATTAGTTCCAGCTGTGTGCCAATGAGCGTTCCCAGTGCTGGGGAGACCCCGATGACCCCCCAGATAACCGTGTGCCCTGGAGAGCTGAGAGCCCGGGGAGGAGGGTGAACGATTGAGGCTACCAGGTGATACGCTAGTGTAGGGGCCTTGGGAGGTGGAGGCCACCCGGGCTCACCCCAGAGTCTCACCCAGAGCAGGCTTGAGGTCAGGAGGGTCCTGCCAGAAGGAGTGGTGTTTGAGCTGAGATCTGGGGGGTGAGATGAGCGGCAGGAGGTGAGGGGTGCTGATGGGGGTGGTCTTCAGGCAGAGATGGCAGCTGGAGGGATGACCCAGAAATGTGGACACTGCGGTGAGCGCCCCCACTGGAGAGAGGAGCTGGCAAAGTGGGGAGCAGGGGCCTCTTCTCGGTGGGAAGCTGTGGGACCCGGGCCAAGTTGCTTAACCTCTCAGGCTCAGGTCCCCCCTTGGGGTGTTAGGACGACTAAAGGGACTGTCATTTTTGAAGAGCTGATGTGCCCAACACTAGGTAGGCACTAAATTTGCTAAATTAGAAGAAATCAACTAACACACAATGAGTTTCATCTCCAGAGTCTAGTGTTTTTTTAAGAGTTTTTTCCCTGACTATGAAAGCACGTGTTATTTTTCTAACGTTTAACGCTGGGTTGTGTTTTAGACGAGTTCCCGGGTCCGGACCTTTCTTCCAGCTGGAAAGAGCCTCCTGCGGGGCTTCGCGGCTCCGGGTGAAAGCGCCGCCACCATGGACCTCATGGGGCTGCTGAAGTCGCAGTTCCTGTGCCACCTCGTCTTCTGCTACGTGTTCATCGCCTCGGGGCTCATCGTCAACGCCATTCAGCTCCTCTCGCTCGCGCTCTGGCCCATTAACAAGCAGCTGTTCCGGAAGCTCAACTGCCGCTTGTCCTACTGCGTGTCCAGCCGTAAGCCCCCGGTCCCCTGCGTCCTGGCGGCGGGCGGCCATCCGGGCCGGGCTCCGGGCTCCGGGCTCCGGGCTCCGGGCTCCGGGGCTCTGCTTCTGTGTGTTTGGTTTGGGTCTGAAGGGTCTATTTTGTTCTCTTAATATATTGGTTTTTGAGTGAGGGATGCCAACAGCACAGAATTCAGCAGGCACAGAGGGTAAATATGAAGAGTAAATATGCAGTTAGGCGTTTCCTCCTCAGAAGGCAGAGGTGTCCATAACCTCTTAGTTGTCCCTACAGAAAAGCATATACAGGGTGTCCCCAAAACACGTACACACACTTCAACAGCTGAGAGCTCAGCTGATGTTTCCTTTTTTTCAGCCAGACTAAGCTTTGAATGAAGGAAATTCATCCGAAAATGCTACTGAGAGTTTGAAAACTCAGTCGAAGCACAAACACTGCCTTTATAATTATTCAAAGTGTGTATATATTTTGGGGGGACACCCTATATGTAGAACTATATATGGGTCTTGCGTGTGTACCTGGATGCAGACGAGCATCTGACATGTCTAGATGCACAATGCAAACGCATATTAGAAAAACTAAATGGCATTTTAATATTTTGTACTCATTCTTGCTTTTCTTTAGCTTTTGATTTTGAAATAATCATACGGATTCACATGCAGTTGTAAGATATGATGCAGAGAGATCCCGTATGCCCTTCAGCCAGTTTCCCCCAATGGTAGTGCCTTGGATACCACAGTATAATATCATAATATCCCAACAAGAAAGTTAGCGTTGACACAAGCCACCAACCATATTCAGATTTTCCCCTTTCCGTATACATTCATGGGTCTGTGTGTGTGTGTCTGATTATACTGGACTGTTTAAACATGACTAATTCAAGTGGCCTGAATTTCAAAAATGAAAAAAGACAAATCAGAATAATGGGCTGTGTAGCGATGAGTTTCATTGGTGACTGGCCTTGAATCCTCCCCTGTTCTCCACGGTAGAACATGTATGCACCGTTGGCAGTTACATACATGGGCTTGGAGGTATTTGAAAGTATGAGCTCTTTCAAAGGAAGCAGTTTTAAAATCTCAGCCACCTGAGGTTATGCCCAGAGCCCAAAATTATTGCCATCACTCTGAAACCCTTTAAATGAAGCGACTGAATTTTATTCTGAATCAGAACAATACAAGCTGTGGACAGTTGTCCAAATGGATTAGTATGAACCCAATCTTGTTATTTGTTTAAACCTCAAAATACTCACTTGTGAGGGGAAACAGATAATAGAAATATCCCTATTCTTGATTTCTGTCACCAGCTCGGAGCTTGCAAATATGTCTGCTACTATTTCTGATATGGTTTGAGTGCTGGACCTGCTCTGTCTTATATTAGAGTATTTTATATAAATATGTCTTGAAATGTTAATAAGATCATAAGGCCAAATTTTACTTGCAAAACAATATGTTTAATCCGTGTGCCTGTGGCCTGCTGGGTGCAATCACCCATTCGATGCAATAGTGTGATGCCAGGTCCTTGCCATGCGTTTGTCTCTGACACTGGCCTCTGGTGTGTGGGTGTCTACCATAGTGCAGAGAAGGGACAGCCTGTCGGGGCGGGGAGAGGCGTCCGGATGGCCTGATCCCGAGTCCTAGTGGAGAGAGTTTGCATAATCAAGGGAAGAGGGCAGCTGTCCCTTACCCTGGCATTTCGAATGTCTTTTCATACTCTGGCCGTAGGCGTCTGCTTAAACAAAGGTAAATCCGACAAAGCAGTGCTGCTTTCACTCTTCACTGAAACCCGCGTTTATGTTGCGTGCACACTCCTGGGAAGACTCCCAGACCTGCCAGCCGGCACTTTGACATGATCTGTATTTTCTTTTTTAAATTTATCTTTATTGTTGAGAGTATTACAGGTGTCCCATCCCCCCCCCATTAGCCCCCTCCAC